TCAGAATACTGATGTAATTATGCAATGTCTCTTATTGCTCTTATTTTAAAAAGTATCCATATGCTATACAAGTTTGTAAATGTGTCTATCTCTAAAAAAAAGTTACGAAACTTACTGGCATTGCAATAAGATATTGCACAGCAATAAAAACATACAGCATAAGAAGGCACCTGTATTTTTCAGCCTGCACAATGAACATTATGGTTCTTCTGTTTAAAAATGGCTGCAAACAATTTAAGTATGAGATGCCAATATCCCTCAATGATTCATTATATGATAATTCAGTTCATGTGTGTCCTGCTTTGAGTTACAGTTGAGACAGTTCTCAACTGGGACAGGATCAGAGGTGAATAAGCACAGAAAGAAAAACAGAGACGTTGAAGCACAATTTCCCAGCAGAAAAGTATGTTGACCAGAGTCACTCTCGATAGTGATATGGGCAGCATGTAAATTTAATAAATAAATAAAATGAATGTTGGCATAACATTCACCATCTTATTGGCCAAGACCTATTCTACCTCCAACAGTGAGGCTGGTACATGGTGCCATCCTTTCAGTTTTAAGATGGAGCATGTTAGAAGAAGTCAGTGGATTCTTAAGTTTCATTTTATCTCCCTCACCTGCTGTCAAGAAAACACCTGTCATTCTAATGTAGGGTGGGTCCTTGGAATGGTGGGTTTAGACACCCGTCAACTTGTCTAACTAACAGGTCATAGGTATAGAAGTGCTGCTTCTGAATCCTGGCCCAATGGTCTTTTGGAAAACTTGGTGTTGACAAAAAGGTGAGCTGAAAGTTCAGCAGCGCAGGAGGATGAAGAGGAAAGCAGGAGGAAAAGTGGCACAGAGCTTTCTTCTGTTTCATCCGGAACCATCCTCCAAGCCTGTGATGTGCCCATGGGAGTGAGAGGAACTGAAGGGGAACGGGGCAAAATAGGAGAGAATATTGAGCCAATGAGCAAACTCCATCCTCAGCTAGTGCTACAAGGGAGCTGGCAAAGAATAGCTAAGGCTGGTGGCACCTGGAAGCCATTCTTGGAGCAGGCAAAATACTGCCTGTCCCAACAAAAGCCATGTGAAACTCCTTTGGGGCAGAAGGATTAGAAAGCCTCTACTATACTCATTGGCTGACAATTAAATTGACCACCTGCATAGCTGGGACTAGCACTTGCTCAAGAAAAGATTAGTCATGTTTTTTTTTAAATGAAAGTCCAGCACTTATTCAACGAAGCATCTACAACAGAGATCTCCAAACTTGGCAACTTTAAGACCCAGAGGAGTTGAAATCCACAAGTCTTAAAGTTGCCAAGTTTGGGGACCCCTGATCTAGAACCTATGTAAAGCTTGAGTAGCAGTTTGGATAAGACTGATCTTGCATAATGTGGACAAACAAATGCAGGTGTCTTGTCTCTTCTTCAGCTGAAGCAGAACAGCCCTGCTTACTGAGAAAATACTCTCTGTATCCTAAAGCAAAGCCAGACGGATCCCAGTTCTGACCTGTTCAGCAACTACACCATTAGTAAAGGATGCTATGACAGAAATTGTATCAGGAGGAGATAGAAAATATCACCATTGAAACAACTAAAGATGTTTTTAAAACACTTTGCTCTGGCATAGGAAAGAGATGGGGGGAAAGATGAGAGGATGTGCCCTAAGTTTTGGAAGGCAGAATAAGAGAGAAAGAATGAAGTTCTATGTCCAATTCTCCAAAGGCACAATGGCTAACCATAGGAATGGAACAGAATAGCATTCTGCACATGGTGAGTGTTGCTCTTTCCTCCAGCTGGCATGCATGTAAAGAGTTAAGTTTCAGACTTCACTGGTTTCTAGAACAAATTTGGACTGAACGTACCTACTTAACATTAAACATGAAGCTCTGTTAATGACTATGATACGATATGGATTTGTATATTGAAATATAGCTGACCTTGTCATTTAAAGCTGACCTTGTCATTTAAAACAAGTAAATTGGGTTCTGGATTTGCCATTAGAATAAAAAGATGCTGACATATATTAAAATCACAAGTGTGGGAAAAGTGACTTTGACGTGATAGATAGGCGAATGTTTTTATTTGCAAGAAATTAAAGAAAATGAGTTAATGGGCTGCTGAACGTAAAAGAATGTCCACAGGATTTAGTAATAAACTCAAGACGGTGGCTGCAATGGTACAATTGAACTACTGCCAGCTTTTAAAGTGTGCAGTGCTGTTATTTCTAACCATACCCTATGGATAGTCCTATGAAGATCTGTCCTGGAAACTAAGCTCAAATTATCCAGATCAAATAATGCTACCAAATCTAAAAAACTTGCAGCACCTGGGTTTGAAATCAGTTTCTCACTGACCTCGGATGTAGGCCAAAGGGTATTCCATTGCACTTGCATTTCTTAGAAGCTTCAGGAAGTTCTGCACAGTTGGATCTACTACATCCAGGGCTAGGCAGTTTCTGTCTCATATTTTGCATTATTAAATTGTCTGCTACATGCTGTTCTGTTGTAACCATGCACGTAGCAGCACATATCAGGTAGGATTAATGGTGGAACAGATCTAAAGCACAATTTACTCCAATGACTGGGTAGTGAAAAAGAGAATCTAGCAATATCAAGCAACATTTAATATAGTGGAAGTCTGGTGACCTTCCTGTCTATGTGTTGATAAAGACATTCTTAAATCAAAAAGAAGCCTTGGCTAGAAATTAGAAGATATGAAAAATGCTAGAGTAACTGAAAGAAATATTGTACTTCCCTTGATAGCCCAGCTGCAGTTTTGTATATATTCTAAGCATAGAAAATTCCTGTTTGAGGTTTTTTTACAATAAATGAAGTAATTTACTGATTTAATATAATTATTTGGGAATAGATGATTTCTAAAATTTCAGTTGTTCTCCCAACTGAAGCAAAAGGTGATTTCTGTTTGAACTAAATCATGGATTATGGGTATTAAATCATTAATCACTTTGATATGTTGAATAATTACTTAAGTACAGTGCTTTGTAATGTAATTACATCACAAATCTATAGTTTATAATATAGTAACTTTGGCTTAAATGTCTCAAAATATTGATAGCCTAGTTGGGGGGGAATTAAGAACATCATCTCTTCTGTTTGGATATTCACAAGTGGAAATAATAATAATAACAATATTAACAATACATTGGACACTTTGCCAGAAGTTTGGGTTTAAATGCAGCAAAAATGACTAGGAATGCCAAATTGACAAAGTTCTTAAAAATGAGCAAGTCAAGATTCTGTGAGACTTTCAAATTTCACACAGACAGACAGACATCTGGCCCATAACACACCTGACATCACTATTGTCGAAAAGAAAAACTCTGGTTCGTTGATATTTCAATACCAGGGGATGCACGAATTGAAGAGAAACAGCTAGAAAAAATAACCATTTATTGTGATTTGCAAATTGAAGTTGAGTGACTATGGAGAAAGAAATCAATGGTTGTACCAATATTAATAGGAGCCCTTGGAGCAAAACCCAAAGGGCTGCCTAGATATATGAAAATTTTGAACTTATTAGACCTGAATATCCTGACTTTGCAAAAAAACTTCCCACTGCCTATATGCTCAGATGCTATCTTAATAGCTCTTAGGTCTTTGGTTAGGACTTGAACTGTTAAGTTTTTACCAGTCCCAGCTGTGAATCAAATTGAAGATTAAATAAATAATTATCATCATCATCATCATCATCATCATCATCATCATCACCACCATAGTGACAAAAATACTTAAAGTGAAACACTACAATTTAAGCTGACTCATTGGTACTAATTTCCATGGCATTATTGATTTGAAGCCTAAGTATAATACTCTGGATAAAATAAGCTGTGAATAATATTTCAAAGGCATATTACTTACATAGATGCCTCAAAAAATTGCGATTCTCTAGTTATTCCAGCATCATCTTTCAAGAAGACATACCAAAATCTGGTTTCAGAAATGTGTCTTCAACAATTTAACAATCACAGTTTAGAACTTTTCAGATATGAACATTTTTGTTGAGGGTTACATTCATAATCTACACCATAACTGGCTGGGGAATTCTGAAAGTTGAAGTCCACAAGTCTTAAAGTTGCCAAGGTTGGACATTCCTAGTCTACACTCTAGTTTTCTTCAGTTTGCATAAGGCTTTTACATAATCTACATATTTGTTTCCTCAGCTTTGCTTTACAAATCTAGGATTGTAATTTTTTTTATTGATTTTTATCTAAAAATGAGAAGAACTTCACATAAAAGAATTTTTATGTTAAGTGTCCAATAAGAGATCTGGAAACCTAATCTAACAAAATTCCCAAATGATCTCTCAATTCATGACGCTGCTCTGCTCGCTGTTTAAAATTGCATGCCAAACATTTGCCACTGACAGTCAAAAACATTTTTTTTTCCAAAGAGAAAGAGAGAGGGGACGGTGAGGGTTGAGAGAGCAATGTTCTTCAAGCAAGACTATTCCTGCAGCTGTTGTGTACATTAATCCACAGAGCAGATCTCCAAACACTAAATATAGCTAGCCGTCTCATTTTACATGACACACTCTCTCTCCCCCCCTATTTCACTCTCATGTAAACTCACACACATTAGATTTTAAATAAGAAGTCATATTAATCAGGATTTAGTGGAAATAAGATAAATGATCTGTGAGGGTTCACAATTAGGGATGATGAAACAACAATTTCAACTATGTTAAAAACCACGGGCCAAGAAACGGAATTTTAACATCTGTGCCATTTTCTACAAATCAGCATTCTGCTCAAAATAACTAAACAAGCATACATGGGAACTTGAGGGGGAGAATTTGGAACAATTCCTTTCAACACATATGAAGAAACAAGCTTTTCATATTCTGAAGATTCTTGTTTCTGTTTTAATCTAATTTGACTCTGGTTAATATATCTACAATTATTTGCAATCTGACATATTATGGATCCCACCAACCCTCTGGGCACATATGCCATTTCATCAAAACACCATCCACTTTGAAAATCAAACAGGTTACCTTTTCTAATTGTTCCAGATGTTGAAATCCAACTCTGGCACTCTGGCACAGTGGCAATGATTCCTAAGTAAGAGATTAAAGTAACCAAAGTGATGGTGCTTCTTCAGGTTCTTTGGCACTGAAATAACTTCAAATAACTGACTCCATCAGTCAAAAAATAAAAGTTAACTTTATGTTTTGAGGGAAGATAGCTGTAAGAAGCTGGACAACCTGTCACGACTGAAGCAATAGCATTTGTCACTTTGCAGGTCCCAAGTTATTTTGAGACGTACAAACCATGTGCCTGTGAAACATTTCTCTTCATTGGACAGGGTAATATCGAGCAAAGGGATTTCACTGCTGTGGTGGTGGGGGATTTGAACATTTTCTCTCTCTTCCCCTCCCCACAACCTGGAATATTTTCCCTTGATGCTTCAGCATTTTTGGCAGGCTCATTCATGAGAAAATACAAACTGGGTTTGGTACAGTTTAATGCAGAGTCATGTCAAATCAAATGGTTTTATTTGAAAAGCAGACAATGCAGTAATAGGGTTTCAGCTCTTCTCCTTCTTCTCCTCCTCCTCCTTTCTAGTTTGCTCATATTATATGTGACACCTAACCTTACTATCCAGGGGTGGGATTCTACTAGTTCACACCTGTTTGCTAGAACCAATTGTTAACATTCCAAGCAGTTTGGAGAACCGGTTGTTAGAAGAAATTACTGGCCTAATCCTGTAAGGAAGGCAGGAAGGAAACAGAAACTGCCTCTCCGTTAACCCTTATTACATTCTTGGCAGGACTAGACTTCCTGTCTCAGAAACTTCTCTGGAGTTTTCTTCCCCTCCTTTGCTGGTACTTTGCTTGTGTGGAGTGACCGCTCAAAGTTACAGTGGCACTGAAAAAGTGACTTATGACCGTTTTTCACACTTACGACTGTTGCAGCATCCCCACAGTCATGAGAGGCCAGGCGAGGAGATGTGTGCCTCAATGTGAGTGATGTTGATTTGACCATGCCCAGCCAGTCACATGACCACCAAGCCATGCCCACCAACTAAGCCACACCCACAGAACTGGTTGTTAAAAAATTTGAATCCCACACCTGTTACTATCAGATTACTTTCTAAGAGTATCTTCAAAGCTCAGATTGTTTCAGTAAGCCTTCTCCAACTTAGCACTTCTCTTTAGCGCAACCACCATATTGGTTAGAATCCTGGCATTTTGGATGCTGAAACATCTGGAAGACAACCAGTGGAGTTTGAAGGAATTTAGGATTTTAAAGTTCATAACCCTAAATTACACAACATTGGGCTGCTCAGATTTTGAAATATTAAAAGTTCATCTACATAGACCAGTTAAAATACTAGTCCATCATCTGGCAGAAAACTCTACTGCCATAATATATACTGCCCTCATCAAAGATCCCAAACCTGCCGCCAGAATAACGTTGACCATAGATACTGCCCTTCTTTACAATATGTAGGGCTGGGATTTGTGGATTCCCTTAGCTTTGTCTTTCTCCCCTCCTACTGCTTATCACAAGCCATCAGGAAAACATCCACCAATCACTCTCCCTAACACGGAATGGAGGATTTGGTCTACCATGCAGTTAGGTATGAGTTCATATTGAAAAGGTTTAAAAAGCTGATAAAGCATTAACCTCCAAACACTAAAGCTGTGTCCATAATCAGCCCAAGCAACACCCAGCAAGCATGATGTGGGTTGCACTGAGTACATAAAGAACTGGAAGTAGTATATAAAGAACTGGCATTCTTTCTCCTGTTTCAGTGTACTGTTCCTATCCCTGCTGCCTTTGGCACTTTAGGTCCATTTAGTCTCTAAGCTGGAGAGCAACTCAGAAAGTGGCTGGTTTCTAGAGCTCTTGGTGGTGCAGTGATGAGAATGCAGTATTGCGGGCTAATTCAGCTCACTGCCAGGAGTTTGATCCTCACCAGCTCAAAGTTGACTCCACCGTTCATCCTTCTGAGGTTGGTAAAATGAGGACCCAGATTTTGGAACAATATGCTGACTGTAAAACAGCTTAGAGACAGGGGTGGGATTCTACCAGTTTGCACCTATTCACTAGAACCAATTGTTAACATTCTAAGCAGTTGGGAGAACTGGTTGTTAGAAGAAATTACTGGCCTAATCCTGTAAGGAAGGCAGGAAGGAAACATTCTGGTGTTGCTTACAGAAACTGCCTCTCCGTTAACCCTTATTACATTCTTGGCAGGACTAGACTTCCTGTCTCTGGAACTTCTCTGGAGTTTTTTCCTCCTCCTTTGCTGGTACTTTGCTTGGGTGGAGTGACCATTCAGAGTTACAATGGCACTGAAAAAAGTGACTTATGACCATTTTTCACACTTACGACTGTTGCAGCATCCCCACAGTCATGAGAGGCCAGGCCAGGAGATGTGTGCCTCGACGTGAGTGATATTGTGTTGGCCACACCCAGCCAATAACATGACCACCAAGCCATGTCCACCCAGTCACATGACCACCAAGCCACGCCCACCAACTAAGTCACGCCTACAGAACTGGTTGTTATAAATTTGAATCCCACCCCTGCTTAGAGAGTGCCATAAAGCACTATGAAGTGGTATATAAATGCTATTGCTATTGCTACAAGAGGGAGACCACCTTGATCTGAAAGGCCTGGACCCTCTCACTGGTCAAAGCAGACAGTACTAGGAAAAGATAAGTCAACACCAAACTAACATGGCCAGTAGATGCTGGCTGGTTCTATCCTCAGAATGGTTAGTGAATTGTGACAAATTGCATATGGGGCACAACTTGTCTCAAGAAGAGGAGGAAAAAACACCATTGGTTATATACAAGTAAGAAAAGCTTCTAAGTTTCTTTCTTGTGTACTCCAAAGGATGCACATCTTCAGAGGAAGGCTTGGTTGCTTATATATCCCTTGGAAATTCATCTGACAACCTGTTTCTCTTGTTCCATTTCCGAGACAGAAAAACAATACCTACTTTGCATGCTAAGTTATACCCCCTCATTACAGCCTTTGTTATTTTTCTTTCCTATTCAGGACATCTCAGCATGAGATTCAACATTGAGCAGTCATTTTTCCTTCTCATTCATCTGAATTTGCATGTTTGAACATGCTGACCTTAGAGGAAGATTCTGATTGTCCTATTAATCAATGGCCCTATAAACGCCGCGGACTGTTTAACACTTATCCTTTATGAGTGTACGTTTGATACTGAACCATTTACTTCAAAGGCTCAGAGGGTGATTTTGTTTATCCTGTGCAAGAAATGTAATAAAGCGACATCATTTAACATGATATGCACAACATTTCTTCTGGACCAATTTGGCCAGATCAAAACAATGTCACGAGGGGAAGACAAGTCAGGACATATGTTTGGGCTATGTCCTACCATTTGGGGGATTATGGATTTAACATAGCACTGCCTTGCCAGCCGTGTCCTGATGAATAGACAGAAGTACATCACCCTCAAACATGGCAGGAAGATAATTTTCTATTGATAAAATCCAAAAATACCTTTTCTCAAAAATCCACAACAGATCATTTTACTTGTTGCTTTTTAGAACATTGGAGTAAAAGATTTGTTAGAGAGGGATTGACATTGAATTCAAAGTTATTATGATGTGGAGAGCTAATTTGGTATGGTGGTTAAGGCATCAGATGGGAGATCATTTGAGCATGAAGCTAGCTGAGTGGTTGGCCAGTCACCCTCTCTCAGCCCTAGGATGGAGGCAGTGGCAAACCATTTCCACAAAAACCTTGCCAAGAAAACTGCAGGGACTAGTCCAGGTAGTCCCCAGGAGTCAAAAATTGACTCAAAGCAACACATATTCCATTTGCCATTTTCTAACCTTCTTTCTTGTTGGAACATTCCAACAAGATTGGACTGCCATTTGTCAGAAATGGTGTAGGGTCTCCTGTTTGG